TGTTTAAAAATTATTGAAACTGTGTCATTGAGATTTTCGACAAATATTTCAGATGTCTTCGAATAAAATCTACAAGAAATCTTAAAAAATCTGTCGCTTGAGATATTTAGCAAATATTACAAACAAATATTTAGAAATTATTCTATGCTACTAGGGATGCTTTTGAAATGGCAGTGCGTATTAATTTGTTGTGAATAATTCATGCGTTTTTGCTGACTCGTTTAAAAATGATATGTGTGACATGTCATTATGTGAATCTGGATATTACTGAAAACAATTTAATTTGATATATTGAATTACAACTTGATGTAACAATGATAATTTATTTTTTAAGATATGGAGTGGCTCATTGTGTCAGATTGACATCTATCGATTATTATGAAATCTTCCTGATGCGTTCTCATATAATAAAGTCCACTGATCGATCATCGCGAGTTCGGTGTCTAGACTTAATTAGATTAGTAAATTTAGATAGATTAATAGAATTTGGTTCGATACAAGCCAACTTTCGGTGGATTTATTGGAATTAATTGTATTAACCTTCGAATGAAATGTATATTGGTCATATGTATATAAGAATGGACATGCATAATAGAAATATGCCCTGGCTTGTTTTATATTATTTAAATAAAATACGAAACGTATAAAAACCATATTAGTATAAATTGCACATACTCATTCTTACGAGGCCTAGTGTATAATATTTCCGATGTCGTCTAGAAATTATGTCATGGTATTGTTTGGTTAAAAACTGAATCCCAGTTGTTAATACAAAAATAATTTGATGTTAGTTGCGATGCAAAATTTTAGCTTAAGAACCGACATACAAATTCCTGTAGTGCTACCTGTGTTTTAGAAAAATGAAAGATGTTGCAAATCATCGTGAAATTATTTTGCAATTGGTTTTGTTCATTCATAGATATATAAATTATTTAAGCGTACCAATAAAACGTACAGTGACAAACAACTCGTGAAACTTTTGTAACATTATTCTTTAATCGTTAATTGTTTACTTTGTTAGGGAGGAATATTTTAATTACAATTTTTTAACAAATTAATACCACGACATGATTTTTAGACAATGCTTTTCTTTGTTAACTTCTTCTGGAAGTATATACAAAGTGCAATAGAATTAGTGACCACGGTTTACCTCTTGCTTCTTTGTTAAGAATGGAGTTGTACACAATTTTGTTCTACAGTGTATAGTTTAACCGTAATAATTTATTGATAAATAGCCACCCATATTTATCGAATATCCGAATGTGTATCAGCCGCGTTTTTCTGTCTTCTAACGGCAAGACAACAAATAACGCGTTCGAATCACATTTCGCTAATCGACCCGCCATGTTTCCTACTTTTTAATTAATTACTACGATTTTGTATAGAAAAAATTGCCCAGGATTTACCAACTTTACACTGATAGCGATATACAAACCGTGGGAACGAGGTCTGTTACACCCTGTATACACATCCATACATAATATTACCATTACACCTTCTACGCCCACCTTTAATCCCAATAATCCTTCAACTCCAAGCATTAGCATCACAACTCATTGTCTCAAAGCCTTGCACCGAGCCAAACTCTATCCGAAATAATTGAACATTAAGTCGAGCCAACCGACGGCAGTTGGCGCACCAGTGGCGGGCTTCTGTGAGCCACGTTCGATAGCAATCGATATCGTCCATTAGAATAAAAGAGTTAATGACTTCGATGGCAATCGATTTGGGACACAGACTCCCGCTACAGACCTCTATTCCTTAGAAACAGCGAGAATCCCTCCCGAGAAGCCGGCACAGGCCCACCGAGTAGGTCGTCCCCACCACCAGCCATGCCAATCTCTCCCCAGGTTGCACAGCCCTACCACCAGGCAGGCCATTCCCTCCCCAGGTTGCACAGCCCTACCACCAGGCAGGCCATTCCCTCCCCAGATTGCAGCGCTCCACCACCACCCACGCCATTCCATCCCCAGCTTGCAGCGCCGCACCACCAGCCACGCCATTCCCTCCTCAGCTTCCAACGCCCCACCACAACATCGAGACCCGACCAGGGTTTGTCCCCCTCCAGTTCCAGGTACAGAGACCCGTTATAGGTACTCGACAATGTCGCACTTGATCGAGATGTTGGGACAGCTGGCGATGCTGGCCCCGTAGCCGCCCCTGGCGGAGCCCTTGTGCCGCTCGCTGAGCAGCTTCTGAAAAATCGGCAGGATCGCCAGATCCAGGAGCTCCCCGTCCGACACGGCACTGTACATCTTGGAGGTCCCTGGTCCTCCACTCCCGCCACTCCCGACCCCCCCAGCTCCATCGCCAGCTCTCGGATTGGCGCTGGCGAACTTGCTGTTGTGTATCGTAGCCACGTTCGGGGTGCTCTGGACGTACTCCATCCGGGCCTGCTGGCGCAACTTCGATTCCGCGTGCCGGCACTCCCGCGTCCGCCTGGCCGCAGCTGCAGCCCTATGCGGGCACTCCGCCACGGAATGCCCGCCCGCTGGCAGCCGTCCGTGGGCGCACTTCTCCCGAGACCGCTCCGACACCGACCGCTGGATGATGCTCGACATCGACTCCTCGTAGTACTTCTCTGAAACGACTGCGAGTTCGAAGAGAGTTCTTAGGAAGTACGCGATGACGAGGGAAGTCCGGGGTTCCCGAATCCCTAACTTCCCTCGCGAAGGGGATAGGTACTTCGAGAAGTTCTGGTGATGGCTATGGGATTGTGGGGTATCCCTGGGATGGGGATCTTCGGGCGGATTAGGCTTGGTGGGCGGATTGTTCGAGCGGTGGATAGGACTTTGGTTGAGGATGGTGGTGAAGTGGGGAAGAAGGCTTGATTAAGTAGGTGGATTCTTGAGATTTTGGGGGGTTAGGGATCTGTACGGTTAGGGGATTTCAGGGTGGTTTAGGTTTGGCTGGACCGTGCTCGTGTTTAGGCTGTTGGGTCGTGCTCTTATTTAGGGTGTTGGGTCATGCTTGCGTTTACGCTGTTGGATCATGTTCATGATTAGACCGTTGGCTCATGGAGTAGAAGCTTTAGAGTCGAATATGGTAACAAATTGGAGAGGAATGATTGATACGTGGATTAAATGGCTCAATGAAGTAAGCTCGATTGACTAAATGCTCCAAATATGGGTTAGGGACATGTTACGTAGGTATGTTGTTGTTAAGGGATTTTGTGGTAGGGATTTTAAGTTTATATATATATATAGATCTTGCAGATAGCTCGGATGCGAGTTGGATGAGGAGGATGGTTTAGGCTTATTGGGAGCATAGCATACATGTAGGGTAAAATTTGTAATCCAAGCTGGTGATTTAATGGAGAAAAATGCTTGACAGACAACATGACTTGCTAAGATACTAATCAGTTGGGGGATTTCATTAGATTGATGGCTTGACATGGCAAATGCTGCTGCATCTCTTTTCTTGAGAATCTTATAGAATTAATGGATGAGTCTCAGGTGTGAGTACTTCTTACTATCTACATCATATGGCAAGATTGTGTTCAGAAACACAATAATACATCTCACGTGCCCTTTAGAGTTGAAGTAGGTTCTATAGGGTTGGTTAGAGATGCGATCATTTATGTTATCTCATTTCTGTTTCAAATACGAACGTTTCCAGCACACTCATGGATCAGATAATAAAAGACTCTTTACTGGATAGAGAAGTAATTAGATCAGCAATCATGAGGTCATTGTGGAGGATATTTGGGATCAAATCGTAATGATAGTCAATAAAAAATGGGATTTCCTCGTTTCCCTCTAGAGTTACAAATATTATTTAAATTTTATTTTGAAAGTAGGTATAGAAACAATGTTTTTTTATTCTCATGTCAGAGACAGACCTGCACTATTTCTGCATATGAAAGATGTATCTGTAAGATGTCGGCAGGTGTCGGAATAACAAAAAGGTCTGTACAGTGAAATCTGTACACGCTAACGAGCGTCATCACACATCAGGGAACATATTAAAAACTTAAAACCCATTTATCTTTTACTTTTATTAAAGCGTTTAATGAAAATCACTCATGTTATTCGACATCTCATGCACGACGGAGGAAAATCTCTCATTAAAATTTGCTATCCCTCTTTGTAAAACTCGTACTCTCGGTTTAATTCCAAGTTGGATATGCAGAAACGCAGAGAAACTGACTTTCTCTTTGGAACATGATGTTCTCTTTGAGGTAATTTCCCCTTTATAAATGAAGTACCTGGTTTCATCCGTTCAACTGCACCGCGGATTTTTGTGAAAAATCTGGGTGATCCATTTTGTCAGAAATTCTGTGTAAATCGGAAGAAAGGACGATTTGGGTCATCCCAAGGTAGCATGTTCAAGGTATATCTCTACTGATATTGGAGCGTCGATAGCCCATCCGCGTTAATTATTAGTATAAACTTAATCTTTTATAATCGCTCGAGTCAAGGCCCACGGAAACTCGAGGTCCTTCCAAAGCGTACCGAAGGACCCGAGCCATCCTCGAAAGGGGGGCAATAAAACTTACGAGTCCGAGCATTCTCAAAGGGTCTCTTTTCGAGGGTTTTCGCCGAAGGTCCGAGATGACGTCTGGCGACCAGATTTTTTAACTTTCTAAAAATTCCGAAGCCCGCTTCTGGCGACTAGACGTCACTAGAGGGTTTTTTCCGCGAATCCGCGGCCTATGTGACCGGCCGTTTTGCGGGTGCCTTCGAGGGCGGAAACCCTTCGGGAATTTTTTCCCTGCCAATGAGAATGCTCGACTCAAGGTCCGACTTCCTCCCTCCACCGAGTTGGAGGGAGAACTATGCATTCGGATATTTTTTAAGACATTCTGTAAAAATCAGATACCAACCGAAAGTTGCCGAGTCAACTTCGAATCTCAAAAACGTTGCCGAGTCAACGCAAGTTCAAAGTTAACAGTTGCCGAGTCAACTGACTACCTGCATAAAATCACGCATCTTCCCTTGTCCCTAAAGGAAATATAGTTTATTGTGTCACTAAAATCCGGAATAATTTTATTCAAAACGCGAAACCAGCTGCTTTTAATTATTTTTTTTATTTTTACCGGCGGTTAATTCCCCCTTCAGCAAATCACTATTCGAGCCCGTCTTCCCGAGCCCGAGGATTTACGACCCTCGGGGATTGACTGACAATCGCGAGTTGGTTTAGTGTCGCAGAAATGATATCTAAATGAATAAACCAACTTGTGAATAAGGAAGTGAACTAAGGAAGATGATTATCACATGACTGACATTAAAAGTAAGTAAGAAAACGGATAGAAACTTTAAAATCTCGGCTCGGTCATCCTTCGTGACTCTCATTTGCCTCGCCAATCCCTTTATTTAGATCATTGTTCCGTGCGCGACATTCATGTACTTAAATTCATCGCGGCTTTTGAAACGTCAGACAAATTTCCAGAAAGGGACTTACTGCCTGTTTGGGCCCATCGGGCCATTTATCAATTTAGCAATTTCTTAACTCCGAAATCCGTTAGTAAATTTTAGTTTTCTACGATACGGTTATATTTCCCCGTACGTCCCATCGCGAAGGTTTAGGATTCTTTAGAATTTTCTCGGATTGACCGTCCCTATTCTTTACGGTCATACCTTCTTTAACTTTGCCGCTAATACGTGCGCGCAACATGCCCACGTGTATACAGCATGTTTTTCCATATGCACGGCAACTATTGGGTTGTTCGGAAAGTAATTTCGTTGTTTCCCAACAGAGAACTTAATTTTGATATTGAAGATGCACCACGTCCTCGAATGCCACTTAAAGCTGATGAAAACACAATAAAGACATTAATTGATGCAAACCGGCGAATAGCAACTCGTGAAATCGCTGAGAGATTAAATTTATCGAATTCGACCGTTCATGATCATTTGAAACGCCTAGGTTTAATCTCAAAGCTCGACATATGGATTTCTCGTGTTCTTCCGGAAAGAAATTTGTGTCATCGCATTGACGTCTGTGATTTGCTTCTCAAACGTCAAGAAAATGATCCATTTTTGAAGCGCATCATCCCTGGGGACGAGAAATGGGTTGTCTACGACAATGTTACACGCAAGAGGTCATGGAGTAAAAAAGATGAACCGGCTCAAAGAACTTCGAAACCCGAAATTCATCAAAAAAAGGTGATGGTATCTGTTTGGTGGAATTTCAAAGGAATCGTTTTTTTTTTGAGATTCTACCGAACAACCCAACGATCAATTCCGAAGTGTACTGTCACCAGCTGGACAGATTGAATGATTCACTTAAACGGAAGAGACCAACATTGATCAATAGAAAAGGTGTAGTGTTTCACCAAGGTAATGCGAGACCTCATACAAGTTTCTTAACTCCCCAAAAGCTTCTACAGTTTGGATGGGATATACTGACACACCCACCACATTCTCCAGATCTGGCACCTTCTGATTATTACTTGTTCCGGTCTCTACAAAATTTTTTAGACGGTAAAACCTTTACTTCAAATGAGATCAAAAATCACCTGGATCAGTTTTTTTGACAGCAAAAACCAAACATTTTATGAGCGTTGAATCATGCTCCTGCCAGAAAGATGGAAAAAGGTATTGGATCAGAATGGACAATAGATAATTCAATAAAATATTTATTCGCTATAAAAAAATCGTCTTTCATTTTCATAAAAAAAAACCGAAATTACTTTCCGAACCCAGTAGAAATTTTTCGTTTTCACCCAACCGTATTGGACAGCTATCGACCAATCACGAGGCTGACTATTCGATTATAAAACGAAATATGCTACCACCTCCTCAAAAATGTAATGCGACCGGAGGAGGAATCCTGTATTTTTTCTGTAAGCCAGTCAGTCTCCGTCTCTTACTAGAATTCAACGTCTCTCGTCAGCCTTCATCATCATCTCTGCACCTGTCATTGGTATTCACGCGTTAAGAGCTGACAAAATTCAACAAGTCATTCGTCAATTTAATGTTATAATAAATTCAAGTTTGTTTTGGTTCGCGACAAGGTTCACTTCATTCGGGTACCTTCCCTCTTCACGAGAGCAGTTGTACGAATATCCCATTTTGCACTTCTACTTGCAAAAACAATCGGGACTCATACAACTGCCCGACAAACTAGCCGGGCAGAACGGATATGGCAAAATGAAACCGAGTTAATCTTTCTCCATTCGTCAGCGTATCCGTCAGTGATATCTTGCAGGTCCAACAAAATGTTTGCTGAATCAGCGCAACACTTCTGCCGGCTCTCCTGGCGCACTCCACCATAAAGCTCGAAGCTCTACACGCGGACCATTGTAGAAAAGAGGATTATATGCTCCGGCAGAGGGTCACGTGGAAGGTTTACGAGCATTCCCTGTAGAGCAGACAAGCCAAGGGATCACCAGGAGGACCTGGAGTCGACTAGGGAGTTGGCAACGGACTCGAGGCTAGGAAGTTTTATTCGGAATCTCCATTGTTGAAGGTGCTGTCGGACAGGAATCCGGTAGAGAGGGTTCTGACTTCCATGCTCCTCCGTTTTTCTCGGACTCCCTCTCTTCAAGGTATACTGGGTGTGACAGCGGAAATCCTGCCCCAAAGTGCTCCTTGGAACTGGAAGGTGTGGTTAGAAACTTTGCGGTTTTGCGGATTG